ACTCTTTCTCACTTATTCCATGATCTCTCCACCAAGTCCTAACCAACTAAATAAGGAAAATAACCATATTATTCTTTAATTTAATTCTCTCATTTCCTAATTTTACCATTAGTCATTAAAGTTGTAAGCAACTTTTATTTTAATATCTAATTTTGCAAAACTTATACTTTACAAAAAAATACTGTAAAATAATTTTTTATTTTAGTCCTTTTTATTGTTTTTGTTCTTGATTCTTAATTGTATAATATCCAAAATATATTTTACAAAGTCAAAAATCAAAATTAATAACTAAAAGAACTGACACTTGTATAATTTATTCAACGATAATATCATAAAAAAGATATTCACTAAAATATAAACGGATATGTTACTTTAGTACTTAAAGGAGTTGATTGGTTAAGGAAAAAGTATGAAGTAGCGCAAAAACAGAGAGAGCTAGGTTAGGTAAGTGTCATTGCAGTGTATATACTATATACCATATTAATTTGTGGATAACATTAAACAACCTACATGAATTGCATTCTTACATCAACTTTATATATACATATTAATCATATAACTTTTTTCACATTTTTGTCCTTGTTATTCTTTATTATTATGAACCTATCTTTGTTATAATCGATTATATCCTTATAATAAGCAATCTGCGGTTTGCTTACGAATGACGCATTGTTAGGGGCGACATATATATCATCAACTAAGTACATATATAATAAAGTCACGTACGCTTTTTAATTAAGTTCACAAAACCATGAGCTGCACATAGTTATCTTTGTTATTTAAAATGGGAATAATGCTTAAGCCGTAGTGCATGTCTTTTGTGGATAAAAGAGTATATCCTACAAAATTTTGAGCACGATCAGATGATGTACATATGATTTTGAGATATTCAAGTAATTAAGTAACGTGATAGCTGAAAAGTTAAAATTTATAATTCGGAAAAGTAAGTAAAGCAGTTGATCACATATTAAAGTTGGGGGAGGAGATAATGTAGTTTAACACATTGCAATAAGAAGACAAGGAAGTGAATCTTTCACAACTTAACAACTTAATTCGTGATTAAGTTAAATTTAAAAGAGTACTGGGACCTAGCAAATTGATTTTTTGAGCTTGATAACATTAAAATAGGTATATAGTTACGTGAGTCAAGTTGATTTCATATGCAGATTAGTTGAGTTATTAAAATATGATTCACAAAGATTATGAGTTAGTTAGTAGTATACTAATAGTCAAATTGTAAAGAAAATGGATGAGAGAGAAGGTGATCATTTAAAAGACGTACGACTTGGTGCAATATATACTACGAAGTTACATATAAATGTTGAAAGAGCAAGAGGTTTATGTTTGGAGAAAGATATGGTAAAACTGGGAAAAAATGTTTTACAAAGACTATTAGAGTGACATTAGAAGAGATGGTGTAAACCATGCAGGTTGCCGGGAATTGACATGGTCCAACATTATTTTTTAGTTTCATATAAAAGGAAGATTACAAATTTGTTTTGTTTAAAGGGTATATGAATGATATATTTCATCATTATTTAGTGGTTCAAACTTCAAAGGTGGCAATTAAAGAGAACAATTCAAAAAGTAGTAGCATGAGTACGCCAAATCATTGAAATTTAAATGAGAGGAAGATGATGACCACAAGCAGATTAATGCTTCCATTCACAGTTAATTACACAACACATGCATTGTTTCAACACAAAAAGAGAGCCACCTGCGACTTCCAATCTAGATTGAAATTTCAGGAAATTTGTTGTTGTGAGGTGATTTCCAGTAAAAAAATATATGTTAAAAAACCACTATATTTTTAATAAACGTATGTTACTTTTCTGAAATTTATTACATGCATTAATATAAAATTCTGATTTTATTTACAAATATGTAATTTCTTGTGTAAGAGCTTATTTATAATTTATTTAGGCTTTTCTCAGTAACCCCTAAGGTCGATTTACAGCATGTGAATAAATTATTTTTAACTTATTCAATAAATTTTATAGAATACGTTATAAAAAAATAATTTATAATTTAAATAATATTACTTTAAACTTTTTTTCTTCTTTGACTGTAGAATTAATATATACATAAACATTTATATGATAATTACTTATTTAATAAACAACTAATTAAGTCATCCACCAATACACCTAGATTAATATCCATCATATCAAATGATATTTTTCTTATTAATCATTTGATTGTGAACGTGAATTTATTGATTCGTGGATTTTTTATCAGCAAAAATTACGATAACAAGACTTAAATATATAAATATATATATATATATATATATATATATATATTTGAAA